AAAAAAAAAAAAAAAGAAAAAGAGAAAATGATGACACTCAATGAAATTTTAGATGAAATATGAGATTTTATTGTCGGGGGGGTCAATCCGCGCATCGAGCGCAGTGCCGGATTTCAAATCCAGGTCCGCATTTAATGGAATTTTGAAATTGATTTGCTTAAAAGTTTCGCCCGGTGTTTTGAATTTATTTCTATTCAACAAAATACTTCACTCGCAGTATGAAATATTTCAATCAGATTTGACGTGTCGCGTCACTTAAAAGATGAAGATTAAGTTCCTTCATTATGTCGTATCAATACACCGGATGTAATAAACATAATATGACACAATAGGCCTCATTTTAATTTACAAATCTTCATAACTGTTTGTTATTCGGAAAATGTTTCAAATGCAATTTATTTTGTTCCATGGAGGCAGTAATTCAGTATAGTTAGTTTGTTTCTAAGTGGTTTCGCGATTTTTATTATTTTATTATAATAGAATCTACTTTCATCTATTTCTAAAAATCTGGAATCTACTTTTGCAATAGATATGATTTTTATCTTAATTACTGTTATCTTAAATGGAGTTACGTAATTTTTTTTTACATCAGTCGATACAGTAGGTCGTTCGAATATCGACCTATCAATGTTATACTATAATATTAATATCATAATACAATATAATTAATATAATCGTCTATTTTTACGGTAGGTATGATTTCTGATTATTATTTTTTAAATAATTATTTTACATTAGTCGATGCAATGGGTTGTTCCCTACAAAAAAATAATGTTAACCCATTAACACTATAATACAATTATAAAGGAATGATGTTAATCTAAAAAGAATAATATTTAATCTATGCATGTCGAAAAAAAAATTATCAGTTTAATCAACTTTAATTTTATAAAAGAAGGACAAAAGTATCCTTGTATTCATACATAGATTTTATAAAATTAATCAACAATAAGATATATCTAAGATTCTTAGAAGGCAAAGGCGTTAAACGAAGTTATTTCAACAATAACAAAGTGGCACACGACAGAAAAATAACGAAGTTTTACTCTAATCTTCAGTCGTGAGAAATGTCTCTGAATATTTGGCACGTAGGGTTACGAAAGTGTAAGTTTTACATTTTTTAAATTGCCACGTGACGCGTTTTCTGCATTGCAATTGGCTGAACTAATCCTGCTTTCTCCTCTGTAAAAATTTCTAAATATCCCGATGGAGAGGCTTTCACTCCTTCGACTGGGCTTTGATTCGTTAAATCGTTCGCCGGAAGAGAGGGGAACCAATTTCATTTCCCGCTAATGTCACGGATCGGGGGTGCTGGTTTCGCGGCCAGACTTGATTACTCGCGGCGTTTCCCGTGATTAAATCCGCGGCACGAGGGAAATCTGGCTGCAACACACGTTATATAGTGATATCTGTGCCCGATATAAAATTACACAGGAATTCGACACGTGATCGACACCGGCGTGGTCAAAGCGAGAACTCATCAGCCGACTACCGGATTGGATGTGCTCAGGGTGGAAAAAGTCTCAAAGGCACAGGCCTGGCAGAGGACCGGCAGAGCTGGCCGAGAAACGGCCGGCAAATGTTACCGAACCTACACCAACGAGGAATTCGAGAGGATGAAGGAGATGCCCGTCCCGGAGATACAAAGGTGTTCACTCGCGGGAGTAGCACTCCAGCTGCTCGCCATCGGCGTCGACATCACCACCTTCGATTTCATGGACAAACCGCCAAAGGAGGCCGTCGACGTCGCCGTCAACTGTCTCGAGAAATTGGGCGCCGTCAAGGGTAAGTGTCTCGATCTCAACAGATCTTCAATTTCTCAATTCAATCCTTAATACGTTCCGTGCCATGTGTACCACCGGTGATACACGTTAAACTTGATCTTCAGGCCACATGTACCACCGATGGTACACGATGTGATAGCTACTCATCGATTGATGATGTAATGAAAGATTGTGTGATAATATATCAACCT